TCAGGTCCTTCCACAACATTTCTACAGGATTAAGGTCAGGACTTTGACTTGGCCATTCCAAAACATTAACTTTCTTCTGCTTTAACCATTCTTTGGATCTACAACTTGTGGTTTGGGGTCATTGTCAAATAAAGAAACAAACAAATCAGGATTCAGAAATATGAAGAATATGAGAAGTGAATATTGTATCACATTGTTTGATACTTCTGATTCTCTGGGACTAACTCTATCAGGTTTTATCTGATCATGACATTCTAACAGAATGGAATAGGAAAGAGTTTGAGGGAGAAAATGGCTTGTTCTTGGTTTACCCACATTCATTAGATTAATCTAACAAATAATTTAATGCTTGCTAATGAGCAAGCATTGTCATTGTCTCGGCTCAGAAGTCACAAGTTTGTTCTTTCCCTCCATCTGCTTCCACAGAAATCTGAACCAAAAGCTGTCAAATGGTGGTCACTATTGATTACAAGCTCCAGCACTTCAGCTACTTTAATCACATCCCTTGGGGTATTCAGGATGATATATTGCTCAACACAGAGCTCCTTCTTTTTATTGCTAAAATACTGCAGGCCACAAAGGACTGCAGAGTTTCCATGTGGCTTTAACAAATCAAAACAAACAAATAAATAAATAAATTTACCCAGTGGGCCAATCCCAGGTTGATGAGTCCCTTAACAATCATGGTAGCCATCATGATTTTAGCTAGTAGTAGATGTTTACCATAGTGTTTTTAGCTTTTTTTTTTAGCCCACAAGTCATCTATTACCTATTTTGACCTCACTTGTGGAAACTGGTATGTTCTGCACATGAACTAAACATCCATGGAATGATTCTTGACATACATCACACATCTTATTGTGTAAGCCTTGCCTTGCTTTGCTTTTTGGCAGTACTTTTCAAAGAAGGGCAGGGCACGCACCCCTCAGGAAGACGTCCCGTATATATTCTTATAGCTCCCCAACCACTTCAGCAGGTATTCTATATGTCCACCTAATTATTTGGTACAGTTTCAGGAATGGAAACTTTTTAGTAAGGCAAACTCTATCCTGCAAACCATGTCTTCCACAGAGAAAAACATTCTCATGAAAGTATAGAATATATTTAGAAGGGAAAGGAAGTTAAGGAGAATGGATTGCTGCTCTGATTTACCAGGATAATTTTGATGATGTGGGTCTGTTTTCCTTATTTCTGCATCAGAGAAAGTATCAACATGTTCTTGGGTCAGAGCTCTCTTCCAAAGTTTCTACCCAGAATTCAGGTTGGGGAACCAATATGGTATGAAGTTTATGTGTTGGTCCAAGACTGGGGAAAAGCAGGTTCAAGTCCACCCACAGCCATGGAAAATCATTAGGTCACTCAGAACCGGCCATAGTCTTGCAACCCAACGTACCTTACAGAGATGTTGTTCTGGGGTAAAATGGGAGGAGGGAGTTATATGTATGCCACTTTGAACTTCTAGAGGAAAGGCAGGGTATAAATCTACCCAACAAATTAACTAATTCAAACAAACAAAATACAGCAAAATAGAATCAAGGAAGAAGCAGAACCAGAATTCAAGAAAGTAACCATGCAAGTCTTTTAGGTTTGAAAAGAGTTGCATGACCCATTAAAAGAATGTTAAAAAAAAAAAAGCCTACTGGATCAGCCATATTAGAATCTACCTCTGTGTTCAGGTGGCCAACTGGGTGCACTAAGGAAATTCAAAAGGGTGGATGGGATCAGAGGCATCACCAAGCTCGATTGGGTGGTTGAAGCCCCGCCTCATTTTAATATGCATCACACACACAGGGCTTTTGACACCCAGCCATGCCTACTATTTTGATGAGTTGATCCCTGACATGGGAAGGTCCCTAACAGAATTTCTTTAATCTTGAAAAAATGTGATGCATTTAGAGAAGAATGGGCTCCTTCCTTTTCAGATGCTATTTGAAATCACGATGGAAGCGCAGCTTCTTGTGATTCCCAAGTTACTGTATAGCCACTGTGACCAGTAACCACTGATAACCTGCTCGTCCATGAATTTATACATTCTCATTTCAAAACCATCTAAATATGTGGTCATCACCATATCTGATGGCAGAGAAAGCTACAGTTTAACAAAAACAGCTAGCAAGCCTGAGGACATAAAAATAAGTCAATCAACAATAAATTGACATCTATTAACAGATTCCAGGGTGCTGTTACCCTTAAACAATTTATGGGCTTATTTCATAAATGCCAAATTGTTACTCAAGAAACTCAAGTTTAATAAAATCTAGGCTCAGGGGTAGCTCTTCAAAAGGCCAATTCTAGGGGTGCAAAACCATTTTAAACCCAAGGCTGTACTTAGGCTTGGAGAGACAGGGCCTGGCTCCAGAAGTGGTAGGGAATGTAGTTTCAGATCAAAACAAAATTTCATTGAAGATACATTTATAATTTATTAATACAAGTGCTTTGAGAGCAACGGGCATTTGTAACTGAACAGTCCATAAAATAACACACCACACCATTGCATCCTAGTCTGGATGAAGCAATTAATTTTATGTTAAATGTTTTATATTTGTTAGAAATTGGGGAGAATTTCTGTGATAAAAATGTACATTTTTGCCTAGAATGATGGTTTTTGTTTCAGACAATACTTGTTTTGACAACTGATGAACCATTTGAGCAATGGCAAAAAGATATATCCAAATTGGTATGGCAAGTGAAAAAACCATGAGTTACATACAAAATGTTACAAGATGCAAAGGAAAGAGGAAGTTCAGGTTTACTGGATTTGAAACTGTATTTTGTAGCTTGTTGTTTGGTTTGGATGAAAAAAAAAAGGGTGTTGCTGAGAAACAAAATGCTTTTACAGTTAGAAGAGCACAACCTGAGGTCTGGATGGCATGGATATTTATGGTACAATAAAGTTAATGTGGATTTTAAAAACCATTTTAAAAGCCATACTGAGAATGGAATAGATATAAACCCAGGCTGTGCCCAAAAACACCTTTATGGATCTCAGCACAAGAAGCACTTTATAGAAGAGAAACAACAGGCAACAACAAATGGTTAACATACCAGGAATTATTGGAGAATCACCAAGGGGAATATAAAATTATATCAAGAGAGCAACTAATGCCAGAATGATATAGTTGTCAGTGCTCTTCCCACTTACAGTTATCAGAAAGATTTAAAATGGATAAAAAGATTTATGGTACGGAGCAAAGAAAGACAGAATTTGAAGTGCAATTGTGTACCAATGATGAACATATAATTGCTAAAATAAATAAACTTTTGTTAAAATTTGAAATGGAAGAACAGAGTATAAAGTGAGCTAAGAATTTTGGTTATAATATACAGATGGATCAATGGGAAAATATATGGTCAAAAGGGTTGAAATTTACATTATGTTATGATTTTAAAGAGAATTTTTATAAAATGATGTATTGTTGGTACATGACACTAGAGAAACTATCTAGAATGTATAAAGGCATTCCAAATGTATGTTGGAAATGTGAACAACATGAAGAGACATTTTATCATGCTTGATGGGCATGTGAAAAAGCTAAAAAAAATTGGATTTAAATACACATATTGATACAGAGGATTTTAAAGATTAATATTCAGTTGAAGCAGGAACTTCTTTTAGGATTGATGGACACACAGTTATAAAAGTGTCATGAAAGTTTATTTCAATATATTTTACTGCGGCGAGATTGTTATATGCACAAAGATGGAAAGATTTGGCACTATCCACCATGAAGGAATGGTTGGTGAAATTGACCGAACTTGTTGAAATGGCCAAACTTACTTCTTTGATTAGAGAAAGGTCATTATTGACATTCATCAATGGCTGGAAACCCCTTATAGACTTTTTGCATAAAAAAGAAAATGATTTTGTGACCTGTGGTTTTGATGATTAGAAAGAATAGGATATAGAAAGAAGGGAATTATGATATAATCTTAGACAGAGGTTTGATTAGAATTGTATGCATAAGTGCTGAGAGAAAGATCGGAAACCACTTCTTTAATTTTTTTTTCATGTTTTCGGTTTTTTTCTTTTTTCTATCTCCTTTTTTCTTTGCCTCTTCTTTGTCTCTTCCTTTCTTTTCTCTTTTTCCTTTTCACATTTCCTTTAATATATTTTTCTTTGAATGCATTTCTTATTTGTGTGTGTGTGTATAAAACCTTTTAATAAAAACTATTTGAATTTTTTGTTACATCTGTATACACAAGTCATACAAATGTATGCAAATAGGGTAATTTTCATGATTTGCATAACAATGTCATGTACAAATGACATATATTGGTAAGGTGTAAACATTAAGCACTGTAAATAATTATAGCATTAAAAGGAGAGAAAAACACCCTCCATTAGCTGAACTCCCCCTTCTACAAATAAATTAGCTCTATCTACTCTACATTTGTATTACTCTTCGGTTTCCTTCCTTGCATTGTTTCACCTGAATGTTGAGCCATTTTCATTCATACCATTGCCTTTCTATCCAGCCTCCTTGATGCCAAAAATTAAAATAGAACCATGAAATTCCAGAGGACTGTGTGAGCTGAAAGGATGTTCCCACCACCCAAGAAGAGAAGCATACGGTGAAATGAAAGGTAACTTGGTAATCACAATGTGATATAGGTGTTAAGTAATTGGGAAGGCAATTAAACAGCTGGTATTAAACTCTCCTTATCTAGCAAGGGCACATTTTCTACAACAACTCCCAGATATGATCCAAAGGAAAGAAAGGGATTGCACAGAATCTCTCTCTCTCTCTTACACACACACACACCCCCAAACACACACAAATCAAGCCATATTACTTATGATTAACAAGACAATTTATCCAGTTTTAGAAGACTAGGGTGTCTAGGAGCAAACTCCAACCAATTAATCCATACCACGATAAAATTACTGGGAGGCCAGGTGGAAAACTGGGGTTACGCTCTGCAAATGCACACCGATGGCTGGGAGTTTGCATCAAGGTATACATTACAAGTGGAAGTGCACTGCTGGGCTATTCACATACCTGTCCAGTCTCCTACGACTTTAATGTGCACTCCAAATGTTGCCTTGGTAGCTGTTGGGCACTGGAAAATGAAGCAAGTTAAAATAGTTAATAATAAAACAATGCTAGGGTAACTCAGAAAGATGGAAATGGGGATACACATTGGGCTGGTTACTAGTAATTACTAGTCTTCATCTAAGTTGGTAATTCACTGTAATGCAATTATGAGGCATGGGGCACTTCTACCTGGCACTGGTTTCACTCTGTTTCCTTTCTCCACTATGGCTCACAAGCTAAGTGGAACCCAACTTTTTACCTGCTTTCCTTCTGCCAGTTAAGAACCAGCAGGGGACATCATGAACCAAAATCTTCTCCTTGGTTAACTACCATGAGGCTCAAAAAATAAGTCACTATCGTGTCTTGCTGCCTGAACTGCCACAGGTTCTGATGCAATAAAAATCCCTTCACCCCTCACACAGAAAACAAATTGCTAGCATTCCCCCACTAGCACACACATACATTTGGGTGCATTTGTCTGGCTGTTTCCAATTTAAAAAAAGATTGACTTTTGGGATGGGTCATCCTGCTGGGAAGATGCCATCCTTTCTATTTCTATATATAAAAAAACTTTCCTTGAAAAGTGTTTGCTAGAAAACCACTGTAATTTGGCCAACTTGATCCAAGAAAGGATCTGATGTTAGCAGGCTGATTTGTTTAGATTTATCCATTTAAAATATTTGGATCAATTAAAATGAAGTTCCCAATTAGTATCATGGAGTAGAAGGTCATCTGGATACAAGAAATCTGCTGTTACAGAACCCTTTGCTGATTAGCAGCTTTAACATCAGCGGTTAAAGCTTTTTAGAAAAGGAAGAGGAACTGATACAAAATATAGTTTTCTAATTCCCTCTTTGAAAAGGCATTGTCTCTAACAAGAAAGGAAGAAATGGGGAAAGCCACTTCTAAAACACCTCCAAGTGCTTCCTTTTCATTTGTTGTTTCCAGGAAACCAGATGTGTATATGAACACTAAAGCAATAGGATTGCATTTTCAAAAGAACATGGATTAATAGACCTTTCCCACACAGCACTTGGCCAGTCTTCAATGCTCTCTTCTGAATAGTGTTACAACACCCAACATTCTTCTGAAGTCAGAGGAAAATGTATGGCCTTGTAAAACCTCAGAGACATTCCAATGGTTTTTGTTTCATATTAGTGACAAAAATAACATCCCTCCCGCCTGCAAGCTTTGAATTTTAGGAAGCACATTTCAGTATCACCTACAATAGCCAAGTGTTCCTTTGAAGGTTCTTGAAAGCCTCAATCTATGGGGCTCCTTCTGTCCAGGCAGGTAAAGTGTTGGGAGATGGACAATAAATTGAAGTCTGTCAGAGGGCGGAGCTGGCGTCGCGGCGATACGGCGGGCGATCCTGGGCTCCCAGGATCGCAGCTGATATCTCCTCCCCTGGACGGTCCCGATGGCCCTGAGCCGTCCCGAAGAGATGGCGATCGTAAAGGGCGCGTCCCGCGGATCTCAGGG